TAGAAATAATTGATCGATTATATATTATTTCAATATAATATTCTTAGATGTAAATTGATGACATTGTTACACATGGTGATGATCAAGAGAAGATTCTAAGAGAGAAAAAATGCGACTCCAATAGAGCCTGTTAGGTTCGAATATGTAATATTTCTGTTAACAATATTCGAAAACTTTGGACCAAATGAGCTCTAATAATCTGAGAAATGTGCAGGATGCACTATTCATCGAATACGAAAAACTGAAACAAACTATCTCATATCTGCGGTTTGGTGGTAAAAGATCGAACGAGAAAACATCGTAAGACAGAACGTAGAAAAACAGGTTGTCGAAAAAAAAAAATGTCGGAACGATGTTGAACTAGGGTATAGTGTAGGTGTGGGTGTAAAAGGTGAGTAGGGGTGTCGCATTAGAATTATCATTAGAATTATTTAATGCTAATGCTGTCGAATTATTATTAATCAGGAACACTGATACTTCAGTATTATTGGCATTAGAGTTAATCAATGTCCAAATGTTAGCATTATTTTTAATTCGAATAGATCTACTCAATGTAAGTTTTGCGGGGCTATCTGAGCATGTTACCTATAACTTTTAGAGACTGCCTGGAAATATTATTGGTAGCATTTCAGCTGCTGTCTGTAGCATCTCAGGTGATATCTGTAGCATCTCAGATGTTGTCTGTAGCAGGATTTGTGGATTTGGATATAGATATGTGTGGATCTGGAGCGGATGTGTCTGTGTAGCATGTATCGATGAGTAGGAATGTGTTTCTCCTGTTCATTCACAGTCAAAGTCGCAGGCATCGCCAAGGCTACAACCACATACATTCCATACCTACATGTTTCGAAATTCTTACTTTCGACGTTTTCATTTCAACACTTTGTTTTTCTGCATTGACAACTTTCGATATTTTACCACTTTCCCGTATCTTCAGGTCGACTATCCAATTCCGATTAGAAAATTTCATTAAGAATATCAAATTATAGTTCGACTGAATCCTAAAAACGTTCAATAAACTGGATCTGGATTCAGATAGCGTTGAGTAAATCGGGTTCGGATTCGAAAATTCTGGATCCAACGGGCTCTAGTTTCCAGTACTTTGAAGTACTGAAGTCACACTTTTTCTCCCTTGAAAGATTTCCACCCACAGCCACATCCAACTTATAAAAACTTTTAAATCGAAATTTATTTCAAAACACACAGTGCATAGTTTATTTATAATATTTTTTTTTTGTTTCAAAAAAAAAATCCTGTACAGACACGCAGATATTTACATATATCTATAAACAAAAACAAAACGAAAACCTGATATGACTGGTAGATGAGTAGTCTGTTTTATTGATACTCTGGCCTATATTGAATGTATTGACTGAGACGATACGGAAGTTCATTTGTAATATCTTCAATTTTTCTATTTAATTCATTTAAATGATGAATTATTAAACGACGACATATTGATTTTAAATTAATTTCATTCGGTAATACAACAATTGAAACTTGTAATTCTCGTCCACCATTATTTTTTGTTGTACAAAATGCCATACGTGATGATGAAATAGAAAAAATTGGTGTTAAAAAATTTCGACACATATGCCATGGACATACATGTGATATAAGTTGTGTACATATACGATGAAGACGTTGAAGATTATTTGAATGATATATATCAAAATAACTAATAGGTAATGTTTGTCCACAATGACAATGATTATCAACAAATGTTAATATTATATATACACTATCAGGTGTATATAAAATTGATAAAAGACGAAAACCATTATCAATTAGAATATTTTGAGTTTTATATATTGACCATGAATGTATATTCATTAAATATAAATATGATCCAATTAATTGTTGACGTAATGGAATTGTTTGTGTTTGAATTTTATTTGAACCACCTGGTGTTAATGATGTTAAATTATAATTAATTAGAGTTGTTTGTGTTTCAGTTGCATGAGTATATAAAATTAAACGAGATGACCAATAATTTGGACAAAATTGAAATAATGCATTAATATCAACCGGAACAATTCGACGATATAATTTAGCTTCTTTTTTTACAACTAAAAAGAGATAGAATATGTTCAATATTAGATTTATGCTAAATAAGACAAAATGAAATGACAAAAAAGTCTAATTAATTAACTATAGAATTGTTATCAAAGATGCATTAAATCCATACATTTGAATTCGATTAGGAATGTGCAGTTTAAGTTTACTGATCATCGACTCACGTTGGCAACTCTTCACCTAACTCCTTCTGGTTTCAATAATTTTTTTTTGTCTATAGATACTATATAATGTTCTAATAAAAACCTTAAAAGAATTTGGGTTCCTGTTTATATTTGACTAAGTTATCGAATTTCTAATATGTTTATTTTCTAGAGGTCACAGGTTTTCGAAAAACTCGTATTTTCGAATATTGATCTGAAACTTTGCATACATAGAGAACTCAACTCAATAGAAATCCAAATCCTTTTAGAGCTTCTATCAGAACACGATGTAGTATCTATAGACAAAAAAATCATTGAAACTGAAGGATGGTGGTCGAAGAAGTCCTATCGTCAGTGTAGTTAATAATACACCATTACAAAAAAGGCATAGTTTCATAGCGTTTAGTGAATGCGGATGCCAGTGAATCACTTGTTCAGTATTTATACTTACAATGCATATTCCTAAATTCAAGTTTGTTATGAACTCGGAATATGAATAATCAAACTCTCGGTAAAATAAAATAGAATATCCATCACTAAAGTGTTTTTTTCATCTCGAAATTTGAGATTGAGAATTAGATATTATATAATATAACGACCAAGAAATTAAACAATGATGTTCGAATAAATAGAACTCGATTGATAAGGATAATTTATTTTTCATACTTTTATAAAAATCCAGTGCAGCTGTTCCACCAATCAATGGTATACGTATAATAACTTGTGTTCTATCCATTGACCAAGCTGCATGAACTTTTTTAGCATCAATTAAACCATTATAATCATCGCCTAATGCACAAACATAACGATTTAATTTTAAATCAACAACAATAAATTTTGTTTTATCCAAAACAGCTGAATAAATTAATAACATAATTGTATCACCATGATTTAAACCTGATATTGAACAACCATTAATAAGTCCATGAACAGAATAATTTTGTAATGAACTAATCATTGCTGGTATATGATTATATTCAAAATGTTCACGTAATTTTTTTATTTTTGTTGATTGAAAATTTTTTGATGATGATCGATAAGAACCATAAGAAAGTTTACGTGATAAAGATTCAGAACAAAAACCAGGTGCACATACACTATGAAGTTCAGAATTACAAATAAATTTATGTTGAGAAAAACCAAATAATTCTAAAATATAGATTATTTAAATCTTAAATAAAACAAAAAAAGTGTTTTTTCTTAATCTTTTTACCAGCAATTCCATTCAACCAATCTGTATGTGAACATCGAATAATTTCTTGCCATCCATAATAATTAATTGTTGAAGATTTACGTCTTATTGATGTTTGCCTTGTATAATTATCATTATCAACAGTTGGTAATGTTAAATTAGAATGTTCTTTTGAATTATGTGTACCCATAATAATATCTCAATTATTAATAAAATATCATTCAAAATGTTTATTTATTTATGTATTGAAGCTGAAATAAAAAAAAGAAGAAATAGAAATTTGTTTTTTTTCTTTTTCAGAATACTTGAATAAGTCATAAAAATAAGAAAGCGTAGTGTATGATGCAATGATTCAAATAGATATCAATGAAAGAAAGATGCTCATTTGTGATCTTGTTTACCCGTATTACCGAAGAAAAAAAAAGAGGGAGAATATTAAAGAGAAAAATATTCTGTCTCATCAGCATAGAACAAAGCAAAAAAAGAAAAATTGATTTTATGTCGATAATTAAATTATCTATTTAGAATAGTAGATCAATTCATTGAGACATAACATGCAATGACAGACATATGATCCTTTGAAAAATAACATACAACTTATTTATTTAATCAAAAAACACTTATCTCATTATTCTTATATGTAAATAATGACAATTATTTAATATATTATCGTAGTTGAACAGTTAATCATGAAGAAAAATAATGTAATGAACGTTTATTTCTTTTGTATATAATGAAATCCTCTGAATTCGTCATTATTAACAGATTTTGAATGATCTTTTAATTATACAGAATAAATACTAATCAATAGAACTTCACTTAATTCTCAAGAGAATTTTTCAATCCGTGATAAACTTTTCCTGATGCATTATTATTCTATATGTATTACATAATAAATTGTGTTTTTATACGTTTTCGGACTATCGAACTTTTATGTTAGATGAAATGACAAATAGAAATATATTTTATTTCTATACTTATATTTCTTGCTGACTAATAGAAGAAAAAATAATAAGTAAAATACTATGTTGTATTCATATAGCTGAATCTTATTCACATACCTTTATCTTTTTCTTTTTTTTTTCAATGTATTTCGGATTCCCTTTCTTTGCCAAGCACTTTGTTCTTTCTATGCGTCCACTCAATCGATCATAATACTATTCTCATTTTTTATTCGTATATAAAAATAGTCATTTCATTGGCGTTTTTCTTCTCAACAGAGATAATATTCTATTCGCATTCTTGCTGCTGCCTCCTCCCTTTTTTTTCTCCCTTCGTCATATTCTATCATATGACAGATGAATCAACCCGATTTCTTTTACTTTCTTGTTTCATTTTTCTTACAGAACGAGAAAGAACGTAGTTGTAATCATCGTCATGCCGTCATACTCAATTTTGATGCTATTTATAGTCGTGCCATGATAAATGAATGACGAAAAAAAAAAAAAAAGAAAAGTGAAATAATACACAAGGTGTGTCTGCTGATCTAAAGTATACTAGATGATTGTTAGAAAAAAAAAGAAAAAAAAATGTAAGGTTATAATAGTAGACAAACAAGACACGTGTTTCTTTTTTTTTTAAACTAAAGGTCAATGATGATGTTCGTCATAACGTGGATCACTTGCTGATGAAACAACAGGTTTTGGACGTTCGACAACATGCATTCTATTCTTTAAATAATCAACAACTGCTTTAACCGTATATAATTTATCATAATCAGCATCAGGAATTTCAAAACCTAAAATAGGAAATAATTGAAAAAAGAAAAAGTTAATTTTAGAATAAATTTACCAAATTCATTTTCTAATGCAACAATTATTTCAACATGATCAAGACTATCAAGACCAAGATCATTCATAAAATGTGTTTCCAACGCGATCTAAAGAACAAAAAATTTTTGTAATAGAGTTTTTATATTATTCTAAATAATTAAAATCTTTTTATGTCATGAATTTAATAAACTAAAATATCTTTATTTAAAATGCAGAAACAACATAACAAATCTGACAAGGCAATCGTTTCAAATTTTGAGTTCAGATTCTACACATAAAGTATGCATCTACTTAGGTATGAACATTTCCAAATGCCCTTAGATATAACTGTTTTAGGGTATGGCACGGTTTTATACTAACAAATCGAATAACGATCTGAACTTTAGCCTAAAGATAGATCTACTTGTAATTAGCAAGCACTAGAAATTCCAGATGTGCTATAGCATAAAATGGTGATAATTCTGGAAGGAAAGTCTAAGGGTATTCATCCTTTTAGAAAATTTGTTATATAAATAAAAAGTAATTCCTACTAAGAAAAGAAACTTTTTCGTTTTGGAAAAATGGATAATGAATTCAATCGATACTATTTTGGAAAATAGATTCAAAGATATTTCACCAAGAACGTATAACAGTCTTAGAACCTAATACTCCATTATATTTCATTAGAGAAGAGAAAATGTCAATGATAACCGTCGATTTGATTGTCCGATTTTCAAGCTTACAGATGCAAATATTGAATTGATATGATAGGTTATCAATAATAGTCCACATTCAACTTATGATGATATTATAGTTGAGACTTTTCTCTCTTATAGCATAATAGAATAAATTATCTACGATTGTTTAAATAAGAGAAAAGTCATATCATATAGAGTCGCTCATTAACTCGACGATAAATGCAAATAGAAATAAGTTAAAAAATTCAGTGACATTTCGTGATAGATCATGGCAATTACACAGTATGATTACAGATCATCAGACATAGATTTAATAGAGACAGTTTGACTGCAAGTCAATTAATGCTATCTAAACTAATAAGAATGACTTATTACAGATCATTGTTGATTAGGATAGTTTTGAATCGAAAATTTTATTTCGTATATTCTTTAAATCAAATGATCCCGTTCTTTTATATAATATAGATACAGGCATAAGTATTACATCGAAAACCATCTGAGCTCTTTTGTTAATGGACTATGATTAATTATTTAACAGAAGAAGACATCAATATAATGTCACATGGATTATATTTGTCTGACTTGACAGACTTTATATAAATAATAGTGGAAATTATTTCAAACAATTAATAAAATATTTTTAGATTTTTATTTAATGTTATCAGAACTTTTGATCAATCCACAGTATAATGGAATGAAAATTGTTTCTAATACAATTTGTCCTATTAATGATCCTAAGTTAAGTATTCTATTTTTATTTATTTGTTTCAAGCAATTATTGAAAATTTTTATTATTTTAGTATGTTTCTTTTATTCTTTACGGATAGTTTTAGTTAAATCTATTATTTTCAATTCATTCTCTCATAGAAAAATAAATGTTTCTGGAATCTCTGACTGATGTTTAATATATGAATTAGTTTTCATTTCAAAAGAGATTTACAAATTGTTTCATAACTTTTTGTCTTGACAAATTTAGCTTCTATATAAGCAGAAAATGATCCATATATGAATGTATTTATATGAACTTTGAGTATTTATGTCAATATTTCTTCAGATTTTCTAATTAGCCCTTTGAGAACTAGCATACTTTATAAAGTACACTTTTTTAAGTTTGTTAATTTTTGATTAGCTCGTAAATGCAAAAAGATATCGAGATGCAGGTTGCTCTATGACATGAGTGAGACTTCGGTGCATACATCTATATAAGACTTATAACCCAAATGTGATAAGCCTGATAAGTATTTGGCACATCACATCTAGGACGAGTGCGAATAATGCGTCTTTTGAGGTCTTCAAAATATTTCGGTTTTCCACGTTGGAATCAAGCTAGGAGAGACTTCTAATAGTATTCCAAAAGTTGATTTTGCTATAGCTCTCTGTCGAATTTTGATCCATATCCGTACTCTCTACGGAGATGACCAAAATACCTCGTCAACATCTCCGTACGAGAGTATGGGTATGGATTTTAAAGATTTTTTGAAAACTTTTGATGAAAATATCAACAATACACAATACCCATATTAAATATAAAGTCTCAAAGAAATATCGTCCATTGGTTGAGCAATGATTCTCAAATGGTTAAACAATGAATAGATTTTACATAAAATAATAGTATAATTCAAACGTAATAAATAGTAACCTATTGCGTTTATTTGTCATTGATTACATGATCAAAAATAGTATACATCAAATACGCAAAAATGATCTAAATATATTGATAAGTAGAACGCAAAATGATACATTGCGTATTAAATAAAATACTTTCAATGAGTAGTAAGCAAACAAAATACACGGTTGGAAAAAATATTATTCCATGGGGGTAACGCTATAATTTCAAATAGAAGACATAATGAATTTTATATCAAATGAAAGCTCGTCAAAAATGGGGTTTATTGGTATCAAATAGTGAAGTTTATGAAAACCTTTTAATGTCGAGCTTAATAAATTTTCAGAAATTTTATACTTTTTTTGTGATGGAAAATTAAAGTACCAGTGATTCGAGAATGGAGTAAAATATTTTTCTTGAATATTTTTACACGGTTCGATAGAGCTCGTCGAGCTCTACAAAACTGTATACATTAAAAACTTTTTAAGTCACTTTTTTGCGATAAAAAATTCAAAAAAAGATTTGGAAAATCTTAGAAAACGTTAAAAAAATTCATATTGTTCATGTGGAAGAACAATACTTAATTTTTCAATAAAATCAGCTTTTTTCATTAGTATTCTTATGGAAGATGTTTGAAAATATATTCATTGGATGCAGCGTGAAAAATCGCATCGAATGAGTATATTTCGAAACGCCTGACGGAGTAAAAACAATGAAAAAAGCTGATTTTATTGAAAAATTAAGTATTGTTCTTCCACATGAACAATATGAATTTTTTTAACGTTTTCTAAGATTTTCCAAATCTTTTTTTGAATTTTTTATCGCAAAAAAGTGACTTAAAAAGTTTTTAATGTATACAGTTTTGTCGAGCTCGACGAGCTCTATCGAATCGTGTAAAAATATTCAAGAAAAATATTTTACTCCATTCTTGAATCACTGGTACTTTAATTTTCCATCACAAAAAAAGTATAAAATTTCTGAAAATTTATTAAGCTCGACATTAAAAGGTTTTCATAACCTTCACTATTTAATACCAATAAACCCCATTTTTGACGAGCTTTCATTTGATATAAAATTTATTATGTCTTCTATTTGAAATTATAGCGTTGCCCCCCTAGAATAATATTTTTTCCAACCGTGTAACTACTATACGATTATTTTATATAAAATCTATTCATTGTTTAATTAGAAAATTTAAAAAGAAAAAATAGCATCACATATCTATATGTTTCAATTACTATTGTTTTCAAAAAAAGATAAGATATTAATAAACCATATGCAGTTTAAAGCATTGATATGAATACTTAAAGTTTATAGAAAAATATTCATTTAGGAATCTTTCTCTGATTATAAAGAAAGTAATTTTGGTAAGAACAATATTCACCTTATTTTTTTGTGCTTCTTGAATTTTATCGTATTCGTTACAAATACGTAATACTCGTGATTCAATATCTCGCGGTGTTAATGGAGGTGGTGTACGCATTTGACCAGCATCTTTAATATGTCGATCAAGTATTGATGTACGACGTAATACAAAAACATGTGGCCAAACCTATTAAAATAAACGATTAATAATCGAAATAAAATTTTTTTATTTCATAAACTCACTTGACCATTTTGATACGTATTGGATGGAGATAATGTATGTAGACGATTACTTAATGATGTTGATAAACATATATTGAATGTTGGTCGAAGACGACATCCATTACGAAAGATTGTTTTCAGCATTTTATTTTATTTTATTTTTATCTAAAAATCTGTAAAGATGACGATGTGAATTCGTATACAAAAAACAATAGTACAACACAAAAAGAATGAATGATTCATTCTATTTTTTGATTTGCTAATTAAATATCCATTCGAAATGAAGAATTATTTATAAAAATAGAAAATAAAAGATCATATATAATAAACTAAAAAAATAAAAATATTTTATATTTTAATAAAATATTATATTTATATTTCATTAATTATTTGTTTATTAACTTACCATAACAACAAATTTTACAATGGTAGTCCAAGAAAATGATATTTAAATGATTATTCTACTTGTAATTTATATTCAATGATGACATCTAAAACTGATCGAGCTTCATTTTCTGCTTCATCTGCTGCTCTACTTGCTATACCATATTCAGTAACACCTGGTGAATCACGTAATTTTGATTTAAGTACATCATCTTATATTACTTCAACTGGTTCAAGTACAGATCCACATTATTTATACAGTCAAGTAGATTAAATTAATTCATTATATGATTTTAATTTAATGAAAATTCTTTTTTCATAGTTAAAAAGTAAAGAATGGATTCAACGTTATGGTCTTAAATCACAAAAATTAACTTTTGATCAGATTCTTCAACAGATTGGATTCAAACGTGTTGAAAGTTGGTTCTATTTTTTTTTGTCAATGAAAAAATTTTTCTTAGAAATCAAATTGATACTTATTTAGATTTGAGAAATATTAAAGTCATAGTAACGCTAATTATAGAGTCAAAAATAAAAAATAATTTTATAGAGAACTTGCTGTATTGAAGAGTATGATCTAAATAATTGAATATTTCGTTGTCAAGTATAGAAGAAAAAAAAAATTTCAATTTTTCATCAAGGCGAGAGAAACCTATAAAATGGCACAATCTTTTTTTTTTCGACGTATTTACAAATCTTTTGTTTTGATATGTATTGACACATATTGTGACTGATGTATCCTACTCGAAATAAAAGATTTAATTAAAGTAGAATGATATATATATATATAAATTTGGTCAATTTAACCAATAAATTAAAATACAAA